GAACTTCACGCAGTAATAGGTGCCGGCATCCTCAGGCTGAGCATCTCTGATGTGGATGGTGAAGTCTGTGTTGGACCCATTCACGCCTCTCGTCACGCGGGGGTCAGGTACCCTCTGGTCATAAACAGTCTTGTTCCCTTCGCCCCAGCCCTTCAGCCACTTCGTGGGGCCAGCGGGACTGTGTCCAGACAGGGTGCAGTTCAGCGTGAGCGTCCCCCCTGCTGTCACTGACACTTTGTCCTGGGGTTGCGACAGCTGGAAGTCCTGACCCTTCTGGGCACCCGCACCTACAGAAAAAACAGACCGAGCCTCAACTGGCACCGTACGCCTGGCCAAGCTCCCCTCCTGCCCCTGAGACGGGCTGAGCATGCAGTTCTGGTTACAGGGAACCACGGGTGACGGGGCTGAGCCAGCACCAGGGGGCCTGGGGGACGCAGACCTCTGCCCGCAGGTCTCGGGAGTGGAGCCGGCCGGAGCTTTTCTTGCCGAGCGCACACCGTGCCTCGTACAGCTAAAACATGGAGCAAATCCCAGCTGCCCACGTCTGCCGGCACGCCGTGCTGCCTCCCACGGCTGCTCAGCTTTGTCAGTCAGGAGGAAACAAGGGCACAAAATAGAAGACACTCCAAAAAAGCAAGCTCCCCTCGCCAATGTGATACCACATCTTCCACACGGAATCTGTCCTGTTCCTGCTTTGAATGTGAGCCCTTTGCAGGGCCAGGGCTCTGAGCTCCAGGACCCAGCGGTGCCGCTGCTCGCCGCTCCCCAAAGCCAGCTGCAGCAGCAGAGAGCCCTCCTGGAGCCCACACGGCTCCTCAAGGGGTTATTTTTTGCAATGCTGCGCCGGTACAGTTCTTACGAATGAACTGAATTTCAGCACAGGCCAGTGCTGAGGGGAAGATCCCAGGGTGGGACAAAATCTTTGTCTCAGCAGGACAAGCGGCTCCGAGCACAGCTGGCTCCCCCAGGGGCCAAGGCGGATTTTTGGCAGCTGTGGATCCCTTCTGACTCCCAGCAGTGTGTGATGTACCCACAGATGTTCTCGCTGTCTGCGCAACTACTCGATCTCGATGGCCAGAGTTATTGGGAGCACAGTTTCTCCAGACTCCCCAAGTTAAAGGGTTTTTGCTCAGGGCATTAATCCGCTGCACCCCTAGAACAGGCTGATGCTCGGAGCCGGAATCTTCAGCCCTTGGTGTGTCCCTTTGAAGCCACGTCAAGGCTAACGGAGTAGCAGCACTTGGACACCAAAACAAGTTTGTCACACAAGACAAGCGTGGAATGACAGAAAACCTGGTTTGTGTCATCGTCCAGGCTGAGCCTCGATCTTGTGTCTGAGCGCCAGCGGTCTGGGCTTCTGCGAGGTGAGAGCTTGTGTTTCTCAGGTAACACCCAAACTGGGGGGAGCAGCCCCAGAGCAGAGCCCCTGTCCCCAGCAGGGACACAGGACAGGCACCACTGGTGGCATCTCCTGACCTTCTCCCTCGCCTGCTGCCCCTGGACCTTTTGCAAGAAGCGATTGAGAAAGGCACAGAGGAAGTTTGAGAGCACAGAAGCATCATCTGCCTCTCATCAGCTGCTCTCGCCGAGGGGGACGTGACACAGGCGGATGGAACCGGGCTCCTTTGGGCGCAGGGACCTGCCCCCCCTGACCACCTGCAGCACGGACCCCCCCCG